TTTTTTTTGCTGTTAAGTCACAAACTCTGCCAGTCATACAAAATTTGATCAAGCGAGTTAAGGCGACTAAAAAGCTCAGCTGACTCTGCTTTAGATCTACACAAGATCTTTATTGCATTTACAGTAACATAATATATCATCAAATTTACTTTTTTTCTTCCTTGCGAGGTCCCATTTAATGTCGTTGTCTTCACAGGACCCCGCTGCACTGTGCAGCTTCATGTAACAGCGTCCACCTCTGCAAGATGTTGGTGGAGTCAGGGGCGGCCATTTTTGCCACAACGATCAGCGACGTGGAAACAGCCGCGGACAAATGTGAAGAAATGGAAGAGGGCTACACCCAGTGTTCCCAGTTCCTTTACGGTAGGAAGATACAGACGCACTCACCCGTGTGCGCGATTACCGTCGTCGCACAGGTAAACGTCTAAAGTCATCGTTGTGTCTCTCACAGGTGTGCAGGAAAAGTTGGGTGTGATGAACAAAGGTTTAGTCTACGCCCTGTGGGACTACACAGCCCAGCAGTCTGATGAGCTCTCCTTCAGCGAAGGTGACGCTATCACTGTGGTGCGTCGCCATGACGACACCGAGACAGAGTGGTGGTGGGCGCGCCTGAATGACCGCGAGGGATACGTGCCCAGAAATCTGCTGGGGGTGAGAGAACCGAAACCAAAACAGCGACTCTGGTGAAAATATTACAGTGAGAAAGTCTGACATTAGTATAAGAACAGGTACAACTCAAGGACAAAAAGAGAGAGAAAGACTTCAAAGGAGGCGATGATACTGTGAGTTTTATCTCCTCAGGCAGAGTAGAGTGATGATATAAACACGATCGCCTTACTTTCACAGTGCCAGGAGGACCCAGCGGAGGATCTAAGCCTGTAAACATATTCATACGGTGCCAACAGTTGTGCCATGTAGCAGCAAATCATAAAATCAACTCTAAGACACACAGAAAGCCAGTGGAGAGAAGCCAGATTAGGAGTTATGTGAAAGTAGGAAGTGGAGATGCTGCTCTGTGGGAGGCAAGAGAGAAACGTTTCATGTGCACCACAAAGAGCAGAGTTGCAGTAAATTGGTCAAGAGAAAACAAAAGTGTGGACGACTTGTTCCAAGTCAGATTTTTAGAACAAC